GTAGGGGGTGTGTAGAACTAACAACGGCAATGGGTCCAAGTCCCCTGGGTCAGGTGGTTAGGGGTTTGGCAGGCTAGAGAGGATGTTTAGATGCTGGGGCAGGAGATTTCAACCTGCTTGGCAGGTTAGAGATATTTTCTGGCAGTAAAAGGAATATTTTTTGTAGAAGAAATTGCTAGGAAGAGGTCATTTGGGGGCGTTAGGTGAGAGAAATATCAAAACCATACCTAAAAGCAGTCTAAGGGAACTAGGGAAAAGAAAATCACTACTTTTTCAGTCTCCTCATTGGTTTCCCTTATTCCATAGTGTACTTTCTCTTTCCATCTTCTATCACTTCATATACTTTTCTCCTCCATTCCTTCAGGATTTTTTCCTCCTACCTCTTTATTGTAACAAAAAAGCATTTAGGAAGAATTTTAGGAGACACTGAGACAAAAAAAGAAGAACTTAGAGAAGACATAATAACATACTGCATATTTATGCATGTATGTATGTGTGTATATATAACATATATTCAATTTACCAAGAAGGATAAACGGATTTTTGAGATTTAAAAAATTTATGGTATGTCTGGTCATATTAATCTCCAAACCAGCTGGTTTTTAGCATTGCTAGAGCGATAATAGAATCAGGAATAGAAAACAAAAGGAAAAAAATAAAATTTTACAAAGGATTTATATTTGCAAAGGAAAGAGGACTTATTTAGAGTTGTTTATTGAAATTCCCCCAAAGCTATTTTTTGAACTTATGTATCGACAACATCAAGAGAAGGAGCTTAGGAATTCTCATAGGGTTTAGGAACTACTAAACCTTGTGTATTATGTTCATCTCAGTCCACTCAAGCAAGTAAAGGATAACTAGAGCATGGTATCTCACAGTGCATAACATGGTTGGTTACTTTGCTAGGCTGACATATGGAGACAGGGCCCATAGGAGCAGGGATTTTCTTATGAATACCAGAGAGAGACACCCAGGTTCATCTAAATGTATAGGGCATGTGGGATTAGTGGTACAGTGTTATCTGCAAAGTACCTAAAAGTGTTTTCTAACCAAGAACTAACTTCTTAGCCCAGTCTTCCTGGGGATTAAAAAAAATCCAATAATAAGTAATGGGAATACTTTATTTGGTCACTGGGTTGGGGACGGTTGCTGAGACATATGACAATATTCAATCCATAAAGATAGGAGGAAATAAGGAGAAAGAGAAAACACAGAAAGGGAGAGCAAGGGCCAAAAGAAGAGTGTCACCTCTGTAGACTCTCTAACAGAATAAATCGATAATCTTAAGAAAAGTAAAAGAACATGCCTTGAGGGAAACCTCAGTACACTTTTGGAATCCAAGGCAAAAAATAAAACAATTTGCCTCTTGTCAAGTTTATTGCCATTGCCCCATGGGAGGTTCCTATTTATTCTGCTCTTACGTGCACAGGTATTTCTTCTAGTCTTACATTCTTTTCCTAAGGATTAGCATTCTGTGATAGTGGTGGTAATGACAGCTGCCTTAAATTAATGGCAAGTTAGGAATGAAACACTGACCACCAGCCTATGTTTTTGGATCCAGTCTATGCCCTATAATGTGTTCATTCTACTTTCTGCAGTTTCTCTGAGACTTGTGGCATAAGACTTGTATTGTAGGGCCGGGCTCCTTACGGGGACACATATGACTCCAGAAAACAAGTACTCTACTTTCTTACCCTGACTTTTTGGTTTTCTTGTTTTTTCCTCTTTTTTCCCAGACTATTATTTTCCAGTTTCTTCTCTACCAGTCTGGATGCCCATTGTTGTTAACTTTAGAGATGTCCACCAGCTCCATCAAATCCCTCATCTACAGTTCTCAACTGTATTTACCTAGTTCTAGAGCTCAGATGAACCCACATGTGTGTTCTCCTCAGCTTCCAGGCTGCTGATCCTTGCTGGAGAAAAAGCACAAAACTGTACAGCTTGATTCTCCTGCAGAATTATGGTTTCCCGCATAAGTTTGGGTTTCAGAATTCTTTTTCAATTTTAAAATTTGCTCCTAGTCAGTTTCCTTTTTCACTCCCCAGTTGCATTCATTGTTCTATTTAACTAGTTATAACCCATACGCTACTCTTCACTCTCAGCTACTAACCTTGCCTCCTTTTACATAGAGAAAATAGAGGCCATCAAATGTCACTTCCCATCTCTCAACCTCTGCCACCAATGAATCCACCTATAACATTTCAAAGATCCTTCTGCCTAGCACTGATAACCTCCTCCAGGATCTTATTATATCAGTTACTTTTCCTTTCTTTTGTGTTTTCGATTTTCCTACTGCCTGCCAACATGCTTTAGCTGGCTTCATTTAAAGTAACAATAATAACAATGATAATAAACTAACAAACAACAAACCATCTTTTGCAGACCTTATCTTTCTCTCTTTTGTGTCACCTTCAAGCTTCCTAAGCTCCCATGTATTCCTCAAACCATTACAATCAGCTTTCTCTAGCTGTGTTTCTAATTAAACCATTTTTTTTTTGCCAAAGTCACCAAACACTTCTGAATTGCTAGCCTCCAAAATCCATCCTTCAAACTCATTGTTTTCATTCTTTTAAAGGTCGAGTTCACTGGGGTATAATTTACATACAATAAAATTCATCCTTGCTATACTCATTTACCATTCAATAAGTTTTGCTTATATGCTGGAGGCCTGTGTAATGAAGTCCAAACCCCAAACCCCTTTGCTTCATATACAAATCCCTTTGGCACCTCTCAGCAGTCTTCCCCACATAACCCATTGTCTGGTGACACCACACTACTCAGAATTCAAGAGTATATGCCATATACCTTCATGCCCCTTGGACTTTCTTTATGTTTCCTCTCTATAAACATATATGTCTTGGTATAACACAGTAAATGCTATTTAATATTACCACATCAATTTCCATATAGAATCATAAATCTAGATGTTATTTTGAGAAGCTGATGTTTTCCAAATAGAAGTCATCCATCAAAATGTTACTACCTGAAGATCTCTATTATTTTAGTATTATGGGTTGATTATGTTCCCTTAAAATTCATATGTTGACATTCTGGCCTCCGATTCTTTAGAATATGAATATATTTGTGAATAGGGTCACTGAAGATGTGATTAAGATGAGGTCATGCTGTAGAGTGGGCCTGTAATCCAATATGACTAGTGTACTTATAAAAAGAAGAAACTTAAACACAGACATGCACACAGGGAGAACATCAGGTGACGATGATGGCGGAGATTGGGGCTGATGCTTCTATAAGCCACGGAACACCAAAGATTGCCAGGAAACCATCAGAAGCTGGGTGAGAGTCATGGAAGAGATTCTCACAGCCTTACAAGGAGCCAACCCTGCTGATACTTTAATCTTGAACATCTAGCTTCTATAACTGTGAGACAAACGATTTCTGTTGTTTAAGCCACTCAGTTTGTGGTAGTTTGTTACAAAGCCCTAGAAAACTAATATACTCAGTAAAAAAGTTCTTCAGTATATTGGAATCAGTTCTTTCACTCATCAAGTACTTATTGAGTGCCTACTATATGCTAGGCACTGCCCTAGGATATTGAATGAATAAGAATTTCATCATGTTATTGCATTTTTTGTTCACTAATAAGTAATCAATCTATCAATCAATTTATTAATAGATGAAATGCCTATCATTTATTTCTTCAGCAAATATTTGTTGAATATCTACTATGTATCAGACATCATTCTAGGCACAGAGGATAACATTAGTGGTAGATCAAGTTCTCCACCTTATGTAGTTTAAATTCCAGTAGAGGAAACATACATTAAACAAGAAAACAAGTAAATAAGATATGTAATTTTACTCTGTGCCCCACACTGAGAGTCATAGGCATTGATCCTCTACATCACTAAACAAAGGTTGGAACTAGATAATGAACATGTTACTTCACAGTTCACAAAGTAATAAGGAACACAATGAGGTCTCATACTAGAGGCACGTTAATCCACAGGCAATGCACAGGCTTAAAGTGTTTGGGAAGGACACCCCAAAAGCTAGGTTTCTCAGTCAGTTTGTCAGTCATTGAACACATATTTCTTTTTTCTTTTTTTTTTTTTGAGACCAAATCTCTCTCTCTGTCGCCCAGGCTGGAGTGCTGTGACACAGTCTCGGCTCACTGCAACCTCTGCCTCCTGGGCTCAAGCATTTCTCTGCCCCAGCCTCCCTAGTAGCTGGGATTACAGGCACCTGCCACCATGTCCGGCTAATTTTTGTATTTTTAGTAGAGACAGGATTTCACCATCTTGGCCAGGCTGGTCTTGAATTCCTGACCTCGTGATCCACCCTCCTCGGCCTCCCGAAGTGCTGGGATTACAGGTGTGAGCCAATGCGTCCAGCCATTCGACACGTATTTCTTAAGCACTTACTGTGTACCAGGCCCTATGCTGAAGACAGTAGAACTGTGGACAGAGCCAACATGGTACTAATACCCACTGAGCTCACATTCTAAGGGGAAAAATCTGAACAACAAATCTCACAGTCCGTTCTTTATCACATATCTTCATAAGAATACATAAAGGGGGTTCGGAGATCACCTGGGTCAGAGGACTGGCTCATGAGGGGTTTCCAAGGGGCCTTCCTTGAAGATGTGGTGCCCAGACACTGCTTTAGGGCTGGGGTGTGGGTATTTGTTTGAGCAGGGTCATGAAATCTTAGGTTTCTTCTTCCTTATCCCCTTTCAACCATGTACACACATTTCAAATACTTAAAAGCACTCTTCAAATATACTAAGAACACCAAGAACTAAACACAAGAGGAGGACTCTCCAGAGGAAAGGGGCCAAAAATAGAAGAGAAAAAAAAAACCCTAATCTCACCATTTGTTTTGAAAACACCCAAAATGATTAAAACATATTATAAACTAAAACATATGAACTAATCACTTGCCAAGTTTCATTTTTAAATCAAAGCCGTTTTGAGGTTCATAAAATGAAAAAAGAATCTTCAAATATGAACTTGTGTTTTCCTTTTCTTGGCCCTCAGTTGGCTTGAAGCATTTGCTGTTATGCTGTGTGGAGGGAAGGGGAACCTGCTAGTTAGGAACATGTAGCATACATCTACTAGAAGGTAAGCTCCACGAGATCATGACTCTTCACAGTGGTATCCCTGATAAATAGAAGAGCGCCTGGAAGATAACAGGGGCTCAATAAATACCTGCTGAATGATCAACTACTGAATATTCTGGGCCTTTTAAGGGATTCTCCAACTCTATTTTCTTACCCAAGCTGCATCCGGCTTTAGGCCAGTGGTTCTCCATCTGGGCCTACTTTTTGCCCCCAATCAGGGGACATTTGTATTTTTTGTTGTCACAGTTAGAAAAGTTCCTACTGGCATTTAGAGGGTAGATGCCAGGGATGCTGCTAAACATCTTACAGTGCATAGGACAGCGCTGTTCCACAAAGATTTATCTGGCCCCAAAGGTTAACAGGGCCAAAGTTATAAAACTCCGATTTACACCCTTTGTTTCTATTGGGCTGTGCCTGGGAGTCAGATCCTCTGCATATTTGGAATGAAGTTCAGTCCTAAAGGAAGCACCCCAGAAGAGCGTCATTGCTTAATCCTCATTCCCTTCAAGACCTAACAGAACTGCCTCCACTCTAAAGCAGGCTCAGAGAGAGCCAATTTTGCCTTTTGCCCTCCCTGGGTCAACAATGCAATTGCTAGGGAAATCATCTGACAGTCTGTCTCTACAATGCAAGTGAATAATTTTTACTTTACATTGGTAATTTCCCTGAGCTTACCTAAGCATATATACTAATTTAGTAAAATTCTCTTGTTTACGAACTAGTCATGTATCTGCAGGAAAAAAAAAAAAATCTCAAGTTCAACCAGTTTATCCATGTCTGCTCAGGATCAGTACATAAATCTAGCTTTATTCATGATAAATAAGATCAACTTCAAGAATTCCATCAAACCCCAATAATGTGCCTTTAGAGAGACTGGGTTTATAGCATTTCCTCTGCCACCTTCCTTGCCCTGTATATTAAAATACAAGTATCTGATCCCAGTTTCAATGGGGCAACTTCTGTGGTACCAAAGGAGGGCATGCACTGATTTCCCCACTCTGATGGTTGCTCCAGTAATCTTGGTGTTGTGGCATGTGTCCCAGTTACCATAGAGACTGCATACACTAAGAGTGCAGCATTGTGATTGGTGGGAAAGACACATTTTGCAGAAGCTTTTCTGGAGAGATAAAGGTAAGACACAAGAAAGAAAGTGAGACTGCCAATAAAGAGGCAGAGCACAGAGAAGTCCCAAACAACCATACATTCTAGAAAATTGGGACAACAGAGATTACAACTACTACTATAAAACCAACATAAACTGTTCACTCAGTGGCCCCTGTCAGGAAAATTTCAAGTATAGGCAGACAGAACAGACACAAGATATTCTAGAATAAAAAGGTAAGCAAGTAAACCTACTGAGGTATAGGGGTGACAAAAGGGAAATGGCACGAAAAAATTTTAAAATGATTCAATGCTAGAAAAAAAAAAGAATATCAGAGAGCGCTAAAATTTAAAGTTACATTTCTGTAGGATGGCTGACTTACAGAAAGGCTGACCTTTGGGAAATTATTTAAGTTCTGAGTACCTCTGCTTCCTTCCCTATGAAAAAGAAAAAGAAAAAAAGAATAAAGATGGAAATAGAAAGAATAAAGATGACTTCTCTCTCACTGTTTTACAGGAGTCTCTTTAAATATCTCAATCATTTGACATTATATCAGTTGAATATGATGTACCCCCACACAAAAATTGGACAAAAACACTTAAAGGTGGTGATAAATAGGGGGACATCATTAACAATGCAAACTGCCTCATTCCATAGTTTCTTACAGTAATGAGTCAACTGACTATGTGATCTCATGTACATAATTTTGCTCGGCATGCAATTTTGAGGTATACAATTACTACAGAAATCAAGGCATACCTGCAATGTAAAGGGTAAATCATAGGCATTTTAAGGGAAGGCTGAGGATAGGATGTGTGTTGGTTTGAGGGATGAGTAGGAGTGGATTTAAGAGAAAATCAGTCTAGGAAAATATCACATAAGTGTTTGTAAGTTCTTTGATACTCAGCTCTGTATCCTGTAATGCTTTACTAGACATATTTCAGACTAATATGTCCATTGCCTACTGGACATTCATATCTCCCTGTTTTTAAATACCTTTCAAATCTATATTTTGAGCCATTACTTCTCTCTTGATCTGTAATGCTTTATATCAAATGAACTACTAGACAATTACAATTAGATATTCCAAAAGCATCCTAAATTCAACATGTCCAAAGCTGAACTCATCTTTTCCTTCAAACTTTCTCTTCCTCCTATGTTTCCTATGTGAGTAAATATTAATAGTATTACCATTCACCCATCTGCCAAAGTTCTATACCTAGGAGTCATAGTTGGTTTTATCTCACCTTCAAATAATCATCCGTGCATATATATGTGTAATTCTAATAACCAAAGGAGGCCTTTTTTGAATAGAAAGCAATATTTACAGTTAATTTGGTTTCGAACTAATATTAATTTATTAAACTTACAAATTTTAAAAGGCTAGTTTTCTTTATACTTTTACCTGTGAAAACACATACATATATTTTTCTATGTCTTCATATAGCAATTTTTGCATAAAATAAGAAAAATTACTTTCAGGAAGGGTGAGATTACTAGACAAAAAATTTGGGACCTCAAACTATTTCAACTGTCAGTCAGAGAAAAGAATGAGAGTTAGGGTCTGATCTGGGAACACCTTTCAAATGATTTTGCCAAGGTCACCAGTAGACACATTGAATATTTTTTATAGTCACTCTGACAGTGAGAAATTTTAAGTCTATACCCTACAAAGGAAATTTTACAATCCATGTCCTCTATGTTTAAGTTTCATTCTTATCTAACTCTTTTATAATCACTTTCCACTTCATAGCCTGATAAAGGTAGACAGTATTTTGTGTCTCTACTAACCAGATTTCTTGAATCTAGTGCCCTTTCACTTCATAACGTTTTTCGCATTTCTACCTCTCTCATCCCCACTGCACCACATTAGCTCAGAGCATCATTATCTGTCACTTGTAATATTGCAACAGTACATTGTACTATGTTTTCTTAAGTTTCTGAGTCTTTGCACATGTCACTACCTGTGTCTAGAACACCCATATTCCCTGATAAATATTTACTGAATGAAAAAAAAGTTAATAAATGCTGTGGATGTTGCTGCTTTGGGTGCTGAACAGAAATAGTGGCCTATCTAATATTCTGGATAAGCCTGCATAAAGCAGTTTTACTTTCAAAATTAATTTTGAAGAATAATAAAATTTTGCCATGGAGAATCATGGAGCCCATGCCACAACATCATGTTTTGCATTTACTAAAACACCTCTAAATCCAGGGAAAGAATCAGTTATTATTTCCTTAAATTCATACAACGAATGTTTACTGAACACTCTCTATGTGTCAGGCTCTGTACTAGGCACTGAGGATTTCTTAGAGCACAGAACAGGCAAAAAACAAACAAACAAACAAACAAAACAAAACACAAAACCAAAAAAAACCCCCCAAAAACAAAAAAACCTTACAATCATGGGGCTTATATTCCATGAAAGGGGAAATAAATGTGTAAATAAAATATATATTGTGTCTGAAGGTGGTAGATGCTACGAATCAAAAGGGGTGGAGGGTTAAATGTTAAATACAGTGGTTATGAAAGGTCTTACTTAGAAGTGAAAATTGAGCAAAGACCTGAAGATGATAAGCAAACAAGCCTTATCTGGGGAAAACATTTAAGGCGGCCAGAAAAGCAAGTGCAAAGGTGAAATCATGCATGGTAGGTTTGAGGTTAGGAAGGAGTCAATGAAGGTTGAGGGGAGTGAGCTAGGGTGGAGTGCTAAATGAAGACAGAGAGGTAATGCAGAAATTGAATATGGAAGGTCTTGTGAACTATTGCAAAGGCTTTTCTTCCAAGTGAGATGTTGAGCCATTAGAGAGTTCTGAGCAGAGAAGTGATGTGGTCTGACTGAAATTATATTACACATATTGCAAAGCATCACTCTGGCTATCGTTTTGAGAATACACTGTAAGTGGTAAGGCCAGAAGCAGGGAAGACAATTAGGAGGCTATTGTAATAATCCGGGTAAGAAATGGTAGTTGCTTGGATCAGGGTAGTAGTGGTGATGAGGATGAGCAGTGGTAAGATTCTGGATTTATTCTGAAGGTAGAGCTGCAGGATTTGTTCAATGGTTGGGTTTGTGACAGAAATACAGGTCTGGGAGAGAAGTAAATTTTTGATTTGAGCAACGCTAAAGGTGGAGTGTTATTTACCAATATTGGGGAGGCTATGTATTTGCTTGGTAAAATAAGGAATTCCATTTCTGATATGTCAAGTTTGAGATGCTCATTAGACAGACGGTGGAGATGTTGAATAGGCTGCTAAATATGTGAGCCTAGAATTCTGGGTAAAGGCCTGGACTAGAGATACAAGCTTGCACCATAAGCTTGGGTGCAAATATTAAGAGAGTGAATGGAGCTGAAGAGAAGAGCTTCAAAGATTGAGCTCTAGGGCACTCTAATGTTCACCTGCCTGGGAAATGAGAATATGCTCGCAAAAGAGACTGAGGAGGAGTAGACTGTGAGATAGGAAAAAAATCAGGAGACTGTGATGGACTGAATGCCAAGTGAAGAAAGTGTTTTAATGGAGAATGAATAATGGGCCACATAAAACGATTCTGAGAGATCAGGAAAGACAAAGACTGCTAATTGGTTAATGGATTTAGCAAGATGGAAGTCATTGGTGACCTTAGCATCAACAGTTTTACTAGACTGGTAGGCGCAAAAGCTAACTAGAGGGGCAAAAGAGAACTAGAGCATAGGATTGGAGAGTGTCTACAGTGAGTCTAGGGATTTCTTGAGAAGTTTTGCTGTAATGGAAATCAAAGAAATGGGACAGGAGCTGCTAGGAAGTAGGGTTTATAAAGGTATTTTTAGGATGAGATAAATTACAACATGTTTGTATACTGATAGGAAAGATTTGATAGAAAGAAAATTTGATAAAGTAGAAGAAAGATGTGAGCTTTTTCAGGAGCACCATTTACGCATGTGCAAGAGGAGACATTCTAATGCACAATGAGGGATGGGCTGAGCCAAGAGTACACAGAGGTTATCCATAGTTGTAGGAGAGAAGGCAAAATACATGGGTACAGATAAAAATGGGAGGGTAGGGGTGCTGGACAGCAAGTATTTGTGAAGTTCTCTTTTGATGGTTTCTATCTTTTCAGTGAAGTAGAAAGAAAGATTCTAAGTTGAGCGTAAGGATGGGGGAGGAGGTGTTAGAAATTTGAGAGAGGGAAAATATGAAATATTCCTGTACAGATATGGAAGAGTAAATGACAAGGAAACATTATATTTGCTGGGCAGCGTTAAGGGCCTCCTTGAGGGATCATGAATTTAAATTGAGAGTCATACATTTGCTTGTGTGTTTTTCTGCAGCCACATTCAGCTGGCACACAGGCATGAAATAGATGGGGAGTTGCATATGACCAGTACAGTTGAGATTTGTCAGGAGAGCAGAGTGAAGCCAGAGAAGGTCAACGGTGTTAAAGGCGCATGCAAGGAAATGATTAAAATAATTGTCCGTGAAATCTACGCTATATAACGAAGTCAGCATATGAGAAGCTATGGGTAAAACCAATGAATTAGGGGTCCTAGTGGGCTTAAGGAATTGGTGTATTAGGGGTAACAAAGGGATTGAACTACTAAGACATTAGGCTGTGGTTGGAAAATGGAATGCTTGAAATTGAGATTGTGGAAGATTATAATTATTAGTAATTAAAAGATAAAAAATGTAGCCATGGGAATGAGCAGCTATGGCAGAGTGGTGTATCGATCATGAGAAGTTCAAAAAATTGACAGGAGGTATTAGAGGGAGTGTGTATTTACACAGTGAATGACCAATAATTGTAATGGGGTAGAAATGGAAAAAGTGTTAGTGAGTTAGGGGCTAACATTTTCAAGGAATTGGGAAACTTTCCTGGTAGACAACTGCATCAAGGGGGAGTTATGGGAACACCGAGCTTTTCTACTCCCTCCTCAATGTTTCCTCTCTCTCCATCTTTCCAGCTTATATAACTGGCATTACAAACTTTAATTTCTTAGACTAGATAACTACACATCACCTGTATCTTCCCTTTCTCCTCCCTATCCAAACTATCTCCACGTCTTAAGAATTTCCAATTTTTTTTTTTTTCTGAGATGGAGTCTCACTCTGTTGCCCAGGCTGGAGTGTAGTCATGCCATCTCGGCCTACTACAACTTCCACCTCTCGGGTTCAAGCAGTTCTCCTGCCGCAGCCTCCTAAGTAGCTGAGATTACAGGCATGCACCACCGTCACACCTGGCTAATTTTTGTATTTTAGTAGAGACGATGTTTCACTATGTTGGCTAGGCTGGTCTCGAACTCCTGACCTCAAACAATACGCCTGCCTTAGCCTCCCAAAGTGTTGGGATTACAGACATGAGCCACTGCGCCTGGCCTCCAATTTTGAATACTCTCCACTCTTCCCCTTTGGGGCCATCTCTACTCTAGCCTGTCATTATTTTATCACTCAGATTAATGTTCTTCATGACACT